GGGGGGAGGGGGGATATCTAAGGGGCTTCGTTAAGAATATTTCAGATTTTAAGGACAGATCCTAAGGACGATAAAGTCTAGACGAACCAGATGGGCCTTTTAAAGTAGTAGCCATGTTGGTTTGGAGAATGGATTCTATATACCACAAGTGCTTGAGAATAAATCTATGCGGGTTGAACAAAGGCTTTTATTCTCGAGCGAAAAAACATGGCAGCCGTGCGATAGAGGTCCAATATTCCTATATATGAACTATATACCTTTTYCCCCACAAGGCTAATTTCTACTGGGATTTCTTTGCTTGTAATAAGAGCTGTGAGGTTCGCATGGAACATCGCTAGGGTCAAATATCCTACAACCATCCACAAAACTGACACGATTCGGCTTAAAAATGTCTTTGGCACCAAGTCTCCATAACTGCAAATTAAAATACAACTTATTATGGACTAGCTATGGAATTCCTACTGCCACGCATATGTTTGGTTGGGCTTCCTGCGGACTACCCCTGTTTTGTGTTTTCAAACTGTTTTGTGTTGTTGATATTAGTATTTGTGAATATTTATAACGCTGAATTTAGGCTAGCCCCGAGTAATTAAATGTAATATAATGTAATATCTGTAATCAAGGTATTGTACGAATTCAAAAATGGGCTATAACTTCAACCCAAGTGCTTACTTTAACTTCCTGTAAAATTCCTGAGGAATTCTTAAAACACATATGTTTATTTGGGCTTCCTGTGATATTCTTATGACAAAGTTCCCTGTGGTATATTCACATGATAACGAGTTCCTTACCCAACGGTCGACATGGTAACGAACGCCCACCAAAGTCCCGCGCAAGATCCGTGATGAAAGTCTTTCGGGAAATCTCCATTATTTGCTTTGCGGTCCTTGAAAAAATAAATTTTTTAATGTCAGTCGGTCAATTGCTTGATGTTCCCGGCTTTATTTACTCGTGTGTTGTATAATATTGTCTTGGAATGACTTGTATTTGCCGGTGTCTAATGCAAAATAGTTCGATATCCTTAACCGAAAGATTCGAGCCGCCATGTTGCCATATCAGCATATCCGACAGTTGTTCTTATGCGCATGCTCAGGTCGTTTTTACAGCGAACACTATTTTTTCGCATTGCGCATGCTCCAAACGTTATCTGCTCGTAGATATTTGCAGTGTCAGCTAATAAGAATTTAGAAAGAAAAGCTGATATGTAAAGCAATATGAACGAGATAAGCTTCTGGTGCCCGTAAATTAAAAGCAAAGTGTCAAAGTAAAACTTAATCACCTAGCTTTGAGACTGATTGTTTGTTTATAAAAAAAATGCCTATATTTGCTGATTTATAACTTTTTAATATTTTCGAAATTAGATTCAATCAAGGCCCCGTCCACACTATGCCGGATAAATTTGAATCCGAATTTTCAAACCGAAAGCGAAAAAAAAGTTTTCCGTCCACACTTGGGCTAGCCCGCGTTTTCAAATTGTTCCACTCTGGAGACCGTATTCGAAAAAATTCATTTTCGGCCCACACTAGTATGGACGGTAGGCCTAACCGAATGAATAAAAGTTCGGATTCAAGTTCATCCGGCATAGTGTGGACGTGGCCCAAGTATTATCTCTTGATTTTATTGAAATTCTTTTTCATATTAAGGAAAAAGTTAAAATGTTTTTAAATTTGAAATTCAAACATTAAAAAGCCAATGAAATGTATGATATTCATTCGGCCACTAACACATTTTTGTGCCTTAATTTACATACAGTCAACTCTCTTTACAGCGGACACTTTCGGGACCGTCACTTGGTGTCCGTAATAGCAAGCGTCCGCAATAACGAGATTTAATTACGGTCATTTCTTTGTCAATATTTTTGCCGGGGATTTTGCTCCTGTCCGTAATAGCGAGGTGTCCGTAATATCGGGGTGTTCGCAAGGCGAGAGTTGGCTGTACAGTGAGACATAGGACTTTCGAGCCGTGAACACTTGAGATTTTGTCACATGTTTTTAATGCATACCATAAATCATCCCTTGAGCAAGTCGATTGGAAATAAGATTTATTTTCACACGGTGAATTTGAACTCAATACTTCATTTTAGAGGGCTTGGATATAGAATTAAAGTGCATGCTTATCACCCTTCYGACAATATTCACAGAATTGATTCTACATGGGGTAAGATGTTGAATAACCCGGGAAAAAATAATAGTTTGAGTACGGCTTCTTGAAGTTATAATGGTTTTTCCATGCCATATGCTAATGCTGTGACGTATGAGGAGTAATCATTTAATATAAAATTACTGGCACAGATAAATTAAATTTGAAATACGTCATTGTTTCCCATTGCTCTTATAGAAATTACGGCAAGTTAGTTTTCACATAGGAGCCGGTGTTTCGAATTACGAGGAATGACAAATACTATAAATGCCTCCTCATACGTCACAGCATTAGCATATGGCATGGAAAAACCTTCATAACTTCAAGAAGCCGCACTCAAAGTATGAAACTCTTTCGAGTTATTCAACATCTTACCCCATGTAGAATCAATACTGAGAATATTGTCAGAAGGGTGATAGGCACTTTAAATAAAAAATATGTAATAGGAAAAAAGATATTAGTGGCATTTGAATTAGTGTGAAACTATAAGTGTACTTCATGACATTTAAATGCTTTTTAGGCGCGGATTGAATCCTAAAATAAATTGAATAATCTTTCTTGTAGAATCAAAGACCCAAAAGCTTAGCTTTTAGAGTACCCTGCGAGCAGAGTCTCCTTTTAACTCCTCTACGGGGTAAAAGGGTACTTTGAGAGAAATTTAAATGCAAATATTGAAAAGCAATTTTAGGTGACTCTGGAAATTCTAACCATAAATTACCGAAAAAGACAGTGTAAGCTATATCTTTAATACGTCGGCAGATGGAAATACTCCGTGATTGATTACATGGTTTAGGAAGCGGTCCCACAAAAAAAAAAAAAAAAAAGATAAGATAATATAACAATGAATGGGGGATTTGTAATCGTTCCCTGGAGATTTTGGTTGATATAACAAGGCAGGCTAAAGAAACATTTTTTTGTAGCTAAAAACGAAGACAAAAGCGAAACTCAGACATAAAATCGGTAAGGTCCGTTAACGAAATGCAATGTTTGTCTGAATCTCGAAGCTATTTTTAGAATTTGCGCGCTGCGTCATTCAACGAAGACGAAGACCTTTCTTGCATGTTTTTTTTTTTTTCTTTTTTTTTCTTTTTAAGACGGGGTAAACATTTCATGCGCATTTTTCATTGCAGTGTTTTAGTCAATCTTACAAGATCTTCCATCATTTTTTTTTTTTTTCCTTGAATGCACGAGCTAGGTCATGGTAAACGTTCTAAAGCTATCTTGCCTAACATTACTCAGTAGTGTGCTCGTCGCTATGCATGTCGCCTATTTGAACACCAGAAGTCTGAAGTCCTTTTCGACGCTGAACGACTACAGCTCAGTGAAAGCGTGTAAAATCACGACCTTACTGCAGCACCTTGTATATGGCAACGACCTACGACGCGGTCTGCCTCAGTGAAACTTGGCTGAACAGTACCTGAGCTTTTACCAGGATATAATATCTACCGTGGTGGACAGGAATGGAAGAACAGGTGGAGCTGTTCTAATTGCAGTCAATTAAGGTCGACATACAATCTGCTCGTCGTCAAGATCTTGAAAGAGATGATACTGAACTAATTGGTGTTGAACTTGTGACGCCTAGTTGTAAATCTGTGATGCTTTAAACCTTTTACCGTCCTCCTGATTCTACCCTTGATGTCCTAGATAAATTGAACTCTGCTCTTCAAAGTGCACCGGAATACAGCCAAATTATTCTTGTCGGAAACTTTAATTTGCCTGCGATCGACTGGACTGACTCATCGGCGCCCATAAACACCGGAGGATGTGCAGACGAGGATACATTACTTACCTCCTTAAAATCTTTTGAATTTGAATTTTGATCAATTTTGATGTTTTACTTTTTATTATTGTTTTTTCCTCGTCAATTTTAATGTCAATCATGTTTGTACTGCATGTATGTAAATTGTATGGAGAGGGAATATCAATAAGCCTTTTCATAGTTTAAGAATCGATTCCACTGCGCTTGTAATTTTATCCCGAATTTCTCACCTTCTTTTGTCTAAGCCTTCTTTTGTTCTTAATTAAACAAAAGAAGGCGAGAAATTCGGGATAAAATCGCAAGCGCAGTGGAATCGATTCTTAAACTATGAAAAGGCTTATTGGGACGAAAGTTCTGTTTTCTTCGCCAGTCACAACATTTGTATGTCTCAAGTTTTAAAAAATTTATATGTTTATATTGTGACAAATAAACTAAACTAAACTAAATTATATATGAAAGAGCAAAATTGTAGGATGCCGGCTTTCGTATTTCTTCTCGAGTTATCATGAAATCGTTAGCCGAGATAAAATGTAAAAAGCAAAGGGACGTAACCGGGAGAGCGACACATCAAACAAACACTATTCCAAAATGACATGAAAATATTGATATGTAAAACATATCGTATTCTTACCTTTCTTGAATTTCCTGAACAATTTAAAAATTTGTAGCTTTATATTCATGTTTTTATTCATGTATCCATGTTTTTATTTGAGTTTATTATATAGTTAGGATAGTACGCACGCGCTGATTGGTCGAAAACTGTGCTTTATTAGTGAACGGAGCATAGTGCTGACGCCATCTGCGCGCGCGCAGTGCAGCTAGATCCTGCGACTGTCTTTCTTTTTGCGTAAATAAATTCAATGCCAAAATAAAATTAGTAACTATATAATAAAACGAATAAGACAGCTTTTCCTGTGCTGCTTTCAGTAATAAAGCACTTAGGAAGCGTCGTAAGCACTCAAGAAGTGTGAGAAGCACTCGCCTACGGCTCGTATTTTTGATCATTAACTTCAAAGACTACGGGTTATCTTTCTTCAATAACGTACACGAACATCTCTTAGATTTGATTATTTTTTCTCATACGTTATCTTCGACATATATATATACACACACAAATGCAGCTGTGAGTTCCAGAAAAAAAATCGAATTTGATCGTCGATTTTTTGGCATCTATTTATTTTTCGACAATTTCGCACTCTTGAATAGAAATTTAAAGCGCCAGAAAATTTGCTTTTAGATTCAAATCAGACGTTTTGGAAGAGCCAGAAGTATCTATGGATGACGTTTAGATATGTGAAGTTCATAGCTTATTGCTCGTTTGACATGCACGTTTTTTAAATCAATCAAATGTAAGTGACGTGCTGGCGAAGTTATTTGTTATGGATGAAAGATGTGGATTTGTCAAGTTGGCCTGAAAATGACTGATTTACAAAAACATCTCATGATCAGATAAATTTAATATCTTTGGTGTAAAGTATATTTATCCTGCTATCTATATCTCATCGAGGTGTGATTCTATAGTTTCTGAATCAGTAATGTTATGAATAAAAATATCAAACACAAAATGAAATATTTTTAACTCGCTATCTATATTTCATCGACGTGTGATTCTATGGTTTTTGAACCAGTAATATTATGAATAACATGAATATCTTATAGAATTGTGCCGACAAAAAGAAAATATTTTTGCTATCTATATTTCATCGAAGTTGAATTGCGTATAGTTTCTGAATTTAAAATATTATGGTAAAGAAAACATCAAATAACCTTGATAAAGTTAACTAGTCTTTTTTATCACGCCCGTATCCGAATGAAGTCCGTGGAAATCTAGTTTCTGAATAAGAAAGAAAAATTTAATATATTATTTCAATTTTCAATAGAAAAATTCACTTGTTAAATTTACACTTGTAAGGTGTAGTCGTGAGAGTTTCGCTATAAATGTGTGATGCGATTAATAAATGTTATACAAACAGGATACTTCTGGTCGACAGATTTGACTTCGAACTTCGGCATAAACTAATATTAATGAAAACAGTTGACTATTCGTTTAAAAATAAATCTAAAGTTGAGCAAATAATCAGTTATTTCTCTTACCAGAAACCATACAAGGATTCCAGATATAGCAGCAAGTAGAAATGCTAGAGTAATGACTTGCCAAAGTTGTGTTCCAACAGCGAGGAACCCATTCCACATTCTCTCATTTTTGGCGGGAACGAAAACCACGATTCCTGGGGAGTCGTACAACCCGATGAAAGGCCTCTCGTAGCGAACCAGACTTTCTCGATTCCCGAACACCGGAAAATACATTTTCAATTCCTTACTCATTTGATCTTTCCTTATAAGATTTTCCATGTTTTTCGGGTCTTTATTCAGGATTTTGATGTAGTTTGGAACCGTCATTTTCCGGCAACAAGATTTCATGGATTCTTCTAGAAAACCTCTCAGCTTTCCAGTTACAGTTCCATTTTTTTCGCTCGCCTGCATTTGGTATTCATATGGATGCCAGAAAAACTTGGATGTAAGAYTTTGAGGACACAGAGCTTTCGACGATACAACGAATCCGACAAAAACTGAAACAGAGAAACAAATCCAAGACATAAGCGGTCTTGATTTCATTTTGTAGCTGAGATCGTATCTTTGTGTAAAATGTTGATTTGACCGCGAAAAGAGTACACTACTTATGCCGACGAGAATTTCATAATGTATAGCATCATTGGCTATTGCTGGAGGTAAAATGCCAATCATCTTGAAGCACCATTAGGAGCTCGCATATAATATTAATTAACATGATATTAATATTAAAATTATATATATA